ATATTTTAAATAATTCTTTATTTTATTTTATTTATTCATTCATTTATTTTAATTTTTAGAATTTGACCAGAGAGAGAAAGAGAGAAAGAAAGTGAGAAAGCAAGATACCAGGTCTGGTACTCGAACTGGTGGTTGACCGTGTGGGAGTCCAACACCTTAACCACCACACCACCTGCTGGCCCCTCTCTTGTTTTTAAAAACCATACTTAAGCGCTGACAGGCAGATCCCAATACAGCACTTTCTGTTTTAGACACCCCCCTGCTCCTCCTCTGGCACTCTGCTTACTTGTAAACTGTTTTCCACGGCCTGGGAGCGGGGACAGGGGCTCCTTGTGACCGCACAGGCACCCGGTGAGCACTCCTCTCATCCTCACACACTGGGGCTTACTCTAAGCCACGTCCACTCAGGGCTCCCAGGATATGGCAGCCAACACAACAGACAAGAATTCCTGCCCTTTTGGAGCTTCAACTAGCAAAACCAAACAAAGGAAACCTCTCAATTTTACAGTACGTCAGGAGGTGAAAACTGCTGAGAAAACTAAAGCAGAGAAGGGGACGTGGTTTGTGTCCCAGACCCGGTGGCTTAAAACTCACGCCGGGCGCGTGTGCGTGCATGCCCAAGATCCCAAGAGGAGAATGGAGGAGAAGGGACTGTGGTGTGGCCATCCTCCCTGGGGGGTGACTTCTCATTTTCTGTCTCTCTGTCTCTGTCTGTCTGTCTGGCGAGCACACGCGCCTTATAGCAAAAACCTCTCCAAAAAAATAAAAAAAAAGAAGGGCACAAAGAAAAGCTGGAGATGGCAGAATTATAATTTTAAACAAGGTGGATTAGGAGGGCCTCAGGGAGAAGGTAAAGTCGTAAAGTCTGAATAGAAAGATAGAAAGTCGGGGTGTAAACCGTGCGGCTACCAGGTTCAGGGAACAGATGACTCAAAGGCCCTGAGGTGGCAGAAAGTACTTGCAAAGAGGTCCCTAACAGAGGCAGAAAGGGGACAGATGATAGGAAACAAAATCAGGTGTGGGGACGAGGCTGCAGAGCACGCTGGCTTCCCCGGCGAGCAGGAAGGTACTCTTTGGTTGTAAGCCTAAGGAGACACGGTCTAATCTGATACCGACTTGCCAGTCGCCTGGACTGATCCAAAGCCCTGCTAGGAGAGCTATGAGGGTAACTAAGGAAAGTAACTGAAGCTAACTGAGGTCTGACGAAGTGTTTACACACTTGTTCTAGAACATCAGCTCCTCAACTCAAGGTAAATAAATGAATGAGAACGAAGGTTAGTAACTCATCCACAGGGACTCTCAGAATAAGGAGTCAAGCTAACCGAGAAACCTATTCAACCCAAAACCACAAATCTCTGTGCTTCATTCAGAACTCACTGACTGGGCCTTGCGACCTGCCAGGCACTGAGCTGTCACAGTGAGAGCGGGTTCTTGCTATTTCTCTGCCACGGATCCCGGCAGTCTGCTGAAGGCCATAGGCCCTCCTCATGCTGTTACTACACCATAAAACAAAACACACAGGGGTTAGGAAGGAAGCCAATCACACCAACGTGTAGGTAGTACGGTTACCAACAAGGAAATCTGCGATACAGCCACACGTATGCACCTCGCCAACGCAGCAGACCCTGGATACCGTGGCGGACAGCCAGTGTTCTCACAGCGGTGGAAGCAACTATGTTTTCAAGCATCGTCCCTAATTTTTTTTAAACCCTCATTATTTTCAATGACCAAAGATTTTGAATTGTCTTCCAATCTGAACATTTTAGAAAGGTAAAGGCTAGCTGAAAAGAAACAGGTAAAATTCACAAGGGCAAGGTGGGCTTCCAAAGACCGTTTTGGTTATGGGAAGAGCACGTGTATCTCAATAGTAAGCAGAATTTTTTAACGGCAAGACAGGAATTGAGTCTTTACTCTAAAAAGCCCAATCTTTCACACCTCCAACCATCTTTTTTCACAGCTTGCCAATCTTTACATTTACGAAAACCCAGCAAGAAGCATCAAGCCACGGAGATTTCGGTAAAGGAGAAGTACAACATCCACTCAGCCAAGGTTTTTGTTTTCTGCACCAATAATAAAGGGCCTCCTGCAATAAGAGAAAAAAAAAAAGTCTTCCTTGCTAGTGCATTTCTTCCTGCCTAAAGCAAACTCCGTTGTATTTGCTGAGCCAGCGGTATTAATTTGTGCATAAAACAAATTTCGGTTTGCTGTTTCTTAGCAGATGTCAAGTATAAAGTAAGGTTGAAGGAGAACTCGCTTTGGATGGATGGATGCAGGTCAGTCTGAATTGCTATACTTAACTAAATGCCCACATGTACTAGAGGTTCACAACTTAGTTTGCTTTTATAATCTTTAGGGATCTGGGCCGGGTTTGAGGCTTTTAGAGTGGAGCAAATGGTACAGTATTCCATCATCAGGATAAGGGTACGGGATGTGCTATCGGGGGCACAAGAGCTCATTTAATAGGAATGGACCTAAATGTTGTATCAAGAACCAAACGTGGGGGACTGGCAGTTGGCGTAATGACTATGTCGCTGGACTCCCATGTAGTCGACTGTAGTTTGAGTCCCGGTCACGGTGGCTTAAACTCACGTCGGGCACATGTGCATGTGTGCCCAAGATCCCGAGAGGAGAAGGAATTGTGGTGTGGCCATTGCCCCTGGGGGTTGATTTCTCACTTTCTGTCTCTCTGTCTCTCCCTGTCTTTCTGGTGAGAGCATGCGCCCTATAGCGAAAACCTCTCAACAAAAAAAAAAAGAAAGGAAAAAAAGACAACAAAACAAAACAACTCGAATTGAATGAAGACCTCCAAATGCTTATGCCAGGCAGGAATCTGCTGCTGTCTGTGGTCTCACATTAATCCAAAATAGCTGATGGAGTCAGGACTCTGAAACTACACTTCTGTAACTTGAGTTCTAGCAAAAGGCAAGGTCCTGTAGCCTCAGCTAGTGTAACGCCTTCCTTGTCCAAATCCAGAAGGATTCTCCTGCATGCTGGAAGTGCTGTTCAAATTGACCCCCTTGGTGATAAGTCTGGCTCTCCCTGCCTCCCCAGCCTCCTCCCTGGCCTCCACGACCACCAC